AATTCTCCTGCCTCAGCCTCCTGAGTAGCTGGGATTACAGGCACGCAACACCATGCCCAGCTAATTTTTTGTATTTTTTTAGTAGAGACGGGGTTTCACCATGTTGACCAGGATGGTCTCGATCTCTTGACCTCGTGATCCACCCGCCTCAGCCTCCCAAAGTGCTGGGATTACAGGCGTGAGCCACCGCGCCCGGCGACCAGTACTTTTAAAGCAGATTACTAACCATGCACTGTTGGTTCCAATAGCTATTGCAGCCAGCAAGGGAGAAAAATACTACCAGCTATCAGAGCACATTTACCCCACATTTAGCAATAATGTATCTGTGAAAAATAACAGGAAGGATACATAAAAATAAATATAATTATTTTGAGTAAAGTTATCACTAAACATACCTTTCAGATAAATAACAGCTCTTGTGAGGATTTAGATTTTGATAAGATTCTAGGCTGCCATCAGATGATGAAGAAAGTTGCTCTGATTGCATGTTGTCTGTATCACTCAAACTTCCCTCAGTTACAGGTGGGGTCCTTATGTATTTTCTTCCTAACTCCGTTCCCAGGACATTCGTCAATATAACTCGGGGTATCCTGTCACACAGAATAACAAACACTATACTGTACTGAAGTTTTCAGATTAAAAAAACGTATTCCAGGCAGTTGAATTTTCAGTCATTATCATCTTAACACAAGAAAGCTTTTCGAACTATACCACCCTAGAAATCAACCCATAAATATTTCAAATTATAGGAAAACACAATCTTTTTGTTTTTAGAAGTATTTGTTTCTTATCACTTATAGATTAGCCTGTCACTACAATGTCTTTAATTACACTAATGGATGCCACTGAGGGGCTTAAACTTTTAACAAATTCTTCTCAAAAAATCCTTTCTTTTCTTTTCCAGTAATTATTAAAAAACACAGATTACTACAAACAATTTAAGAAATCTTTGTTCTTCTCATTTAGCAGAAAGGTCCTTGGTAAGTAATTTACATACTTGCTATTGGGAAATGACAAATGATAAATCCAACAAGACATCATGCAGATTGCATCTCTGGTAATGAAAGATTCTGTAACTGAAACAGCACATATAATGGTAATAACGTATATGCTAATACATAATAGCATCAGGAAAATAATCAATATAGCAAATGTTTAGAAAATTAAAGTTTTTGTTTCTTTTTTGAGGCAGGGTCTCACTCTGTCACCCAGACTGGATTCCAGTGACACAATCAAATCTCATTGCAGCCTCAACCTCCCAGGCTCAAGTAATCCTCCTACCTTAACCTCTTAAGTAGCTGGGACTACAGGCACAAGCCACCATGCTTAGCTAATTTTTTCTTATTTTCTGTAGTGACTATGTCTCATTATGTTGCCCAGGTTAGTCTTAAACTCCTGGGCTCAAGCAATCCTCCCAAACCTTAGCCTTCCAAAATTCTGAGATTACAGGTGTGAACCACTGCATCTAGCCTGGAGTGTATTTTTAAGGCTCCAGACCTTAAATCGGTGAGTTTTATATCAAATGTACTATATAAGCCTGACATCTTCTTAACAGAAGATGTACATTTGATATAAAGTACATTTGATATAAAGAAGTACATTTGGTATAAAATTAGTGCAATCTTTATGTTGCTAACTAGCCATTATTATGAACATTACTTTGCCAATAATGTCCTCAATATTAATATTCAGCCCAGAATTCACAGGTCCAAGCCAAATTATTGTGATTTTTTAAAGTTCTTGTTATGTAATTTTAAAGTGTTCATAACTCCTCTTTATTAGATGCCCCCTTTGACTGCTATCAATATGCCACTAGCAGTTCTTTACTTATACTCTGTGTGTAAGAAACAATATACAGAAAGGGCCAGAGTACAAGCATACCTCATTTTATTGTATTTCACTTTACTGCACTTCACAGATACTGTGTCTTTCACAAATGGAAGGTTTGTGGTAACCTTGAGTAAAACATGTCAATCAACATGATTTTTCCAATAGCACCTGCTCACTTTGTGTCTCTGTGTCACATTATGCTAATTCTCAAAATATTTCAATCTTTTCATTATTATTTTATCTATTACGACAATCTGTAATCAGTGATCTTTGATGGCACAACCATATTTGCTTTGAAGCACCACAAACCATGTATGCATAAGACATTGAACTTAATTAACAAAAGTTGTGTGTGTTCTGACTGCTTCACCTACCAACCATTCCCCTATCTCTCTTCCTTTCCTCAGGCCTCCCTATCCCCTGAGACACAGCAATATTGAAATTATGCTAATTAATCATGCTACCATGGCCTCTAAGTATTCAAGTGAAAGGAAGAGTCACAAGTCTCTCACTTTAAATCAAAAGCTAGAAATGTCTGGATGTGGTGGCTCACACATGCAATTCCAGCACTTTGGAAGGTCAAGGTGGGATGATAACTTGAGGCCAGGAGATTGAGGCCAGCCTGGACAACACAGCAAGACTCCATCTCTACAAAAAAATAAAATAATTAATTGGCCATGGCAGTACATGTCTATAGTCCTAGCTAAAGTGGCAGGACCACTTGACCCCAGGAGTTCAAGGCTGCAGAGAGCTAAGATTGCACCAACTCTATCTGCCTGGGAAACAGAGCAAGTCCTTGTCTCTCTCAAAAAAAAAAAAAAAAAAAAAAAAAGAGCTAGTAATCACCAAACTTAGTGTGAAAAGCATGTTGAAAGCTGAGACAGGTTGAAAGCAAGACTGCTTGCTGCAAAGTCAAGTTGTGAAAGCAAAAGAACAGTTCTTGAACAAATTTAAAAGTGCTACTCCTGGCCAGATGGTAGCTCACACTTGTAATTCCAGAACTTTGGGAGGCTGAAGCAGGTGGATCACTTGAGGTCAGGAGTTCAAGACCAGCCTGTCCAACATGGTGAAACCCCATCTCTACTAAAAATACAAAAATTAGCCAGGCATGGTAGCAAGCACCTGTAGTCCCAGCTACTCATGAGGCTGAGGCAGAAGAATCACTTGAATCCAGGAGGCTGAGGTTGCAGTGAGCCAAGATCCTGTCACTGCACACCAGCCAGAGCAACAGAGCGACACTCCATCTCAAAAAAAAAAAAAAAGTGCTACTCCTATGAACACACAAATAATAAGAAACCAAAACAGTCTTACTGATGATATGGAGAAAGTTATAGTACTCTGGATACAAGATGAAACCAGCCACAACATTCCCTTAAGCCAAAGCCTAACTATAGCAAGATACTCTCTTCAATTCTCTGAAGACTGAGACAGGTTAGGAAGCTGCAGAAGAAAAGCAGGTTTGTAAACTTCAAGAAAAGAAGTTGTCTCAGCCTGGGCAACATAGTGAGACCCTGTCTCTACAAAAAATGCTGTGGCATGCACCTGTAGCCTCAGCTACTTGGGAGACAGAGGTGAAGGAATTGCTTTAGCCTGGGAGGTAAAGGCTGCAGTGAGCCATGATGGCACCAGCTGGGAGGTCAAAGCTGCAATGAGTCATGCTGGGCCACAGAATGAGACCCAGCCTCAAAAAAAAAAAAAAAAAAAGAAATGAAGCCTATCTCCGTAACGTGAAAGTGCAAAGTGAAGCAGCCAGGTACTAATGAAGAAGATGCAGCAAGTTATCCAGAAGATCTAGCTAAGACAACTGATGAAGGTGGCTACACTAAACAACAGATTTTCAGTGTAGCTAAAAGAGTCATATTGGAATAAGATGGCATCTACGAATTTCATACCTACAAAGGAAAAGTCAATGCATAAGTTCAAAAGATAGGCTGACTCTCTTGTTAAGGGCTAATAAAGCTGGTGACTTATCTGTGAAGCCAGTGCTCATGTACCATGCAAAAAATCCAAAGGCCCTTAACAATTATGCTAAATCAGGCCAGGCATGGTGGCTCACACCTGTAATCCCAGCACTTTGGGAGGCAGAAACTGGCAGATTACTTGAGGTCAGGAGTTCAAGACCAGCCTGGCCAACACAGTGAAACCCCCATCTCTATTAAAAAAAAAAAAAAATAGCCAGGTATGGTGGTGCATGCCTGTAGTCCCAGCTACTTCAGAGTCTGAGGCAGGAGAATCACTTGAACCCAGGACTTGGAGGCTGCAATAAGATCATGCTACTGCACGCCAGCCTGGGCAACAGAGCAAGAATCTGTCTCAAAAAAATAAAAAATTATGCTAAATCTACTCTGCCTATGCTCTAAAAATGGAACAACAAAGTCTGGATGACTAAATGACAGCACATCTGTTTACAGCATGTATCACTGAATCACTTAACCCCACCTTTGAGAACTGCTACACAGAGAAAAAAAAAATGAATTGCTTTCAAAATATTACAGCTCATTGACAATGCACCTAGTCACCCAAGAGCTCTGATGGGGAAGTACAAGAGAATTAATGTTGTTTTCATGCCTGCTAACAAAACATCCATTCTACAGCCCATGGATCAAGAAGTAATTTCAAGTTTCAAGTCTTATGATTTAAGAAATACATTTCATATAGCTACCACAAACAGTGATTTCCTCTGATGGGTCTGGGCAAAGTAAACTGAAAATCTTCTGGAAAGGATTCATCATTCTAGATGCCTCTGCATAAAACAACAAAGGTAACAAAGTACAGTGAAGTTCACATTTTCACTTAAACAAAAGTATAGGCAATATACTTGGAGACTGGGCCGGTTCAGTTCCAGACCCCCGCCATAAAGTGAGTATCACAATAAAACAAGTCACATGATTATTTTTGGCTTTCCAGTGAATACATGATTATGTTTACACTATACTGTAGTCTATTAAGTGTGCAATGGCATTATGACTAAAAAAAAGACACATTCCCTAATTAAAAATTTTAAGACTCTATTTTTGCTAGATAAAGACACTATGTTCTTTTTACTATGTTCCAGATAGCATAAAATTGTACATCCCTGGAAAATTTTAAAATAAATTAGTCCTCTCTTTATTGTAAACATGAAAACCCCAAAGTACAGAAAAGTTAAATAAGTGGCCCATAAGTAACTTTCCTAGTGGAAGAACCTGTTATTATTATTATCTTTTTGGGTTATCTGTTCTATTCCATTATACTAAATCCTCAATAATACTGAATGCCTATAGATACTTCAGAAAACTCTTGAAAATATCCATTTATGCCATAATCAGAATAAAAAGTGCTGCAACGACATGATTCTATATCTAGAAAGCCCAGTAGTCTCGGCACAAAAACTCCTTCAGCTGATAAGCAACTTGAGAAAAGTTTCGGGATACAAAATCAATATACAAAAATCACTAGCATTCCTATATACCAACAGCAACCAAGCAGAAACCCAAATCACAAAGGTAATCTCATTCACAGCAGCCACAAAAAGAATAATATACCTGTGAATGAATACAGCTTACCAGGGAGTTAAAGATCTCTATAAGGAAAACTACAAAACATTGCTTTAAAAAAATCAGAGAAGACACAAACAAATGAAATAACGTCCCAAATAGAAAGTATTAATATTAAAATGGCCATACTTCCCAAAGCAATTTACAGATTCAATGCAATTTCTATCATACTACCAACAACATTCTTCACAGAATTAGAAAAAAACTACTTTAAAATTCATATG